TGTCTTAACATGAGAGGAACAGCTCTCTGGAGGGGTCTGCCCAGCCTGGCATGACCAGGGCAAGCTCTGAAGTCCAACTTGTCCCCAAATCTGCTCTGAAGGAGGAGGATGGGAGCCTGCCAGCCAAGCACAGGGCATTGCTCTGCCCGTGGTGTGCAGAGCTGGCTGACAGAACCACCCCAAGACCTTCAGAAACCCTTTGGCAAGCTGGTTTCCTGATAAATCAGTGAGGGAAAACTGCTTTGGATGGGAAGCTGTGGCAGAAGGAAACATCAGGGTGGGACAGCTTAGACTTACAACGAGACACAAGTTCAGGAGTTGGAGAGCTCATGTTGGGAAACCTGCCCGGTGTTGGCCACACAATCAGCTGCAGGGCTCAGAGTTGCCCTCAGCTTGTCCCACCACCCTGCCTGCAAAGGCAGAGGGTCTGTAACACACCCCCAGAGAGCTCCCACTCAGGGCTGAAGCCAGTTTGCTGAATTCCCAGTTTGGCAGTGGAGGTGTGACACAAAAACTGGATCTGAGGGTGGCACAGAACTCAAAGCCCTTCACTCCCCGTCCCCTGAGCCAGCTCAAAGCCCTGCTCCTTCAAAAGCTCCCTGGCAATTAACTTCTTTTAATTGATCCAAACTCCACTCCGTGGAATCTGATGCCTTGAAACCGGTTTGGAGAGAGGAAAAAAAATCAGAAAAAGGAAAGAGGCAGGTTGCAGTTCAGTGCTTATCTACACTGCTTTGGATGAGTGGAATTAAACCTTGAAATGCCTCAAACCAAGCAAGACAAACACCTTTCCAGGAGGATCCAGCTTTTGGGACTTTTCTCCTGAAAAATGGCCCAGGTTTTCATATCTGCTGCAGAAATCCCCCCCTTAGCTCACTGAACCCACCCTCTCTGTGGATTTAACTGGAGGCTGTGAAGGAGAAGTTCCTCAGGGGAAGGCATGGGATAAATTTTGGCATCAGAGAATGGTTTGGGTTGGAAGGGACTTTAAAGGTCATTTAGTTCCCATGGGCAGGGACACCTTCCACCAGCCCAGGTTGCTCCAACCTGGCCTTGGACACTTCCAGGGATCCAGGGGCAGCCACAGCTTCTCTGGGCAACCTGTGCCAGGGCCTCCCCACCCTCCCAGGGAAGAATTCCTTCCCAATATCCCATCTAACCCCCAGCCCCAATAAACAACAACACTGCCCATGGAGCTTCCTCCCTGTTCTGCTGCTCTGGGTACAAACCTGTCCCAGCTCAGCTGAATTAAGGCACTGGAGAAGCAATCCCTGCTATCAGGCTGCAAAACCAACCCTCCTCCCTCCCTGAGCCACCTTCTTTCTGCCACCGTGGCAACTTTAACAGCCTTTAATTGCTTCCTGCTTTATCTCTTGAGGAATAAAACCTTTGTGATTTTCTCCCACTTGATCATTAACACTCACCAGAACACAAAGGAAATGCAGGGAAGCACCACTTTATGTGTATTTGCAGCCTGAATTTTACCTGTAACCCCTCGTTGTGGATCTTTGCTTCTCTTCCAGCAACTCTGGGAAGGTTGTAAGAAGCACCTGAACATTTGCTTGCTTGTGGCTCTTGCTACAGGTCAAACTGGAATAAACATCTCTCTGGGTGCCCATAGGCCAGGCAGGAACAGCCAACACTGAAATTTCTCCCTCCTGGCACAGCTTTTCCCCCTGGAAATTCGACCACAGGGAATTTCTCCAAGGCACACCCCCACACACACACATTTTATGGGCAGGGTTGGCCCCCAGTTTCAAGCTGGTGTGGTCATCGAGAGGCTGTGACCAAATCCTGCCCTAAAGTTGTGACCTGAAGGGCCAAACTGGTGTGGTTTGCCCCAAAGCCGTGGCCATACTGGGGTAAACTGGTTGTGTTTTGAGCCCCACCCGCCGTGGTGGGAACCTCGAGGGGTTTGCAGGGGCTACTGAGGGCTGAGAGCTCATCCCACACCTGGAACACCCTCTGGGATGGAGCTAAAAGCAGCTGCACTGCTCAGCTCCAACGTCCAGGGAGTCACCCAGGATGTGGAATCGCTCCAAGGCAACCTGAAGGTCAAATCCATCCCCACAGCACCTCCCCTGCCACGAGGGCACAGATCCCAGAGCTGCCTCTCCTCCTTCCCCTTGGCAGTGCCTCCTCTGTGAGCCTCTTGGCTCTTCCCTGAGAACACGGAGCAGTAAAGGCAGTGACCTCCCTGCTGCAGAGCTCTCACCTGCATGAATAACAATAAAAATCTACAATATTTTACGATCTGCTCCCTATTCATTAGGACTGGCTGAATACAATAAAGCTGCCGCCGGCCCAGCCGCTCTCGTGGCTCTCAACTCAAGCTGAAAAATATGATTATATTGCAGAGAGGTTTGTAAACAGTCCCAGCCTTGTTTATTATAAACCTCGCTCTAAAATCCAATCAGATTAATTTGATGTGCAGCTTAAACTGCTGCTGCTAATTTTAGGTAACGAGGTGGAGATATTGCTTTGCTGTTCCCTCCTGAAGTGGAGAAGGGCAGATTTTTGGCAGGTGGGTGAGTTCCTGGAGACATCAATCCTCAGTTTGAGGGGTGAGAGACGTGAATGACCATTCCCATCACTGAGCCACAGCACCCCAGGGTGCTCCCCCTCCGTCAGAAAGGCTCTTTTTGGGGCAGTTCTAGAAGGTTCAGTGCAGTTCACGTCCCCACACAGCCCTGGGGAGGTCCCTGCCCAGCAAGGCTGGAGATGCCCAAAGTGAAGCAGCTGAGAGGGGTGGGAAGGCAAAGCTGCAAAAATCAATTGGTGCAAGGTCAGCTCCGAAGAAATCCCCCCATTTCTCACACCTTGAGGCTGCACTTGAGCCACCAGGTTTCCTTTGTTGTCCCCCAGGAGCGTTGCTGATCCCTCTGTTTCCCAGGAAGGATGGCTCTGCACACAGGGAAGGTCCCCTCAACACATTTCCTACATTTCCTCCTTCTGCTTTGGCTGCAGTGTGGGGGAGACCTTGCTCTGATTCAAGCCCAGCCTTTCTGCCCTTGAAGTTGATCCCTTCCCTCTTAGCTGAGTCCTGATTTGGCATCATGGGACACCAAAGTGATTCCAAAAATCAAAGGGAAGGTGGGCACTGAATACAGAAGTGGATTTGAAGTTCTCCTTAAGCAGGAGACCTTTTCTTTTTTAAAAAGGTGAGGGGGGGGGAAAGGAAGATGAAGTGAATTTATCAAGGAGTCGGTCAATCCTTTAATACCTGGAGGTTGGAGCCATCCCACACGGATAATCAGTTTGCTTTCCTTTTCTCCTTGCTGGGTTGCTGCTTGGAAAAAAAAAAAATCTCATATCCAGACACAAAGAGTCAGGTCAAGGAAGTCCCAGCTCCTAATTGTGGGAAATGAAGTGGGATGGGGTGGATTTGAAGCAATCCTGGCTGGGAGCGTTTGCAGCCCAGCAGCTTGTTCATGGATCCTAAGGAGTTTTCCTTATTCAAACACACAGCTTCACGTTGACAGGGTGGTAAAGAGGGATCTTTAAAGCCAACAAACAGGTTCGGGATGTTTTGCAGCTGGAATTTTGGTAGAATATTGTTGGGAAATGGGAAATTGAGGCTGTTGTGGTGTTTGTTTAGGAGTGGAAGTGGGAGCTGTGATGCCTCCCATCAGGAGAAGCTGGGGCTGCCCCATCCCTGGAAGTGTCCAAGGCCAGGTTGGAGCACCCTGGGCTAGTGGAAGGTGTCCCTGCCCATGGCAGGGGGTGGAACTGGATGAGCTTTAAGTTCTCTTTCCAACCCAAACCATTCCAGGATTCTGTGATAAGCTTCCCTCACAGAGTCACCCCCAGTCTGGGATGATCCTGATATTTAATGTCATTAATTAAGCACAATCTGACCACACTGATTAGATGGGAAGTTTTGTGGAGAACAGAAACCTGTGAAAGGATTTTTTGAAGAACTCTTCATCATCCTTTCTTAGCCCCCTCCATGCATAGAAATAGAAATTTCATCTTTGAGGCAGCTCCAAAGCCCAGTTTAGAGGAGTCAGAAAACATGGATTTGCTTCTCACACTCAAGAAATAAAGCTTAGAATCAAACACTTCAAAAAAATTGTGATCTCCTGCTTGTGGGGATTTACAGCACTTTCATATGTATATGGACACACACGAGGTGTTCTCAGACCAGAAACGTTAACACTTCATTTTGCTTTAATGAGAAACTTTAAACTCAAAAAAAAAAAAAATAATCAAAACCAAGGAAACATCCTGAAGCAATCTAAAACAAAACTTGACAGCACCACAAAAACAACCAGCCTTTATCCAACCTCTCCTATCCAAGCTGTGGCCAATGTTTTCCATCAGACACAGCATCCAAGGCGAGGGGAAGTCACAAATGATGTGCAGACAAGCTTTTAAGCACCTTAAAAATTTAAATGAGTTACAGGTGTAAATTTAAAGTGGTTACTCCAACTGCACTAAGGGCCCTCATAGGCACTTTGTATTCAGAATTAGAACAGCACTAATTTGATTGAGTTGAAGTGATGCTGAATCTGGAGATAAGTGGAATTAGAGCCCTCTGCAAAGTGCCTACACAGGGATTTCAGGGCTCTGACCCGATCCCAAAGCAGGGAGTTCAGGCCATGGATAATGGACTTGCCTTGAGCCATGGCCTTGGATTCCAAAGGCTGCAGGATGTTCATCTGGAGACCAGCACGCACACAAAGACCTCTGGGAGCCCGAAATCCTCGGGCAGGTGAAGCTGGAGCTTCATTCTTGTTCAGCCTTTCCATGTGAACAGTCTCCAGTTCACATCCCACAAACAAATTCCAGTTGGTGTTGGCCAAAATTCCATATCTCTGGCAGTTCTGTGTTGTTCTCTCTCCTCCCAGGTCACTTCAGCATTTCCCAGCTGCCAAAACCTTATAGATTGCCAGAATTTGTTTGGATTAAAAGGGATCTTAAAGCTCATCCAGTTCCATTCCATGGGCAGGGACACCTTCCACTAGCTCAGGTTGCTCCAACCTGGCCTTGGACACTTCCAGGGATCCAGGGGCAGCCACAGCTTCTCTGGGAAACCTGGGCCAGGGCCTCACCACCCTCACAACCAGGAATTTCTCCCCAATATCCCACCTATCCCTGCTCTCTGGCAGTGGGAAGCCATTCCCTGTGTCCTGTCCCTCCATGCCTTGTCCCCAGTCCCTCTCCAGCTCTCCTGGAGCCCCTTCAGGCCCTGCAAGGGGCTCTCAGCTCTCCCTGGAGCCTTCTCTGCTCCAGGTGAGCACCACAACCTCCTCAGGCTCACGTTGCTCTCACTGCTCTGCCTCTTCCAGCACAAACCTCACTGAAAATCAGCAATTTGCAGTAAAACTGCCCAGAATTCCCCATAATGAATAAATGGAATAGTCCTGCCCATGACAACTCTCCACAACAACAAACTTTCCATCAAGAAATGCAGATTTAAGCCCTAAATTCGTCCTGCACCACATGACAGGATTTTTTCCCCATCCTGGGGCCAAGGGAAAAGGTTTCTCCAGGTGGCACATGGTGTTCCAGGAGGAGGGAAAGGGCTGCAGAGCAACATCAGTAATTTTTAGTTTTAATAAGGAGCGTGGCAAGAAGCCCAACTTTTTTTCTTTATTAGGTTTCAGGAATATATTGAGGTCAGGAGTGGCTGAAATCACTTTCAAAGCTGGGCTAAAATGAGAAGATGAAATATATATAATGTATATTAAAATATATTGGATATATTATAGTTAATACAGTGATGGAATGCTGTGTGAGAGACACCAGCACAAGATAAGTGTTGGATCCCAACTGGCTAAACAGTGATGTTAAATGATTCAAATAGAACTATGAAATTCCAGATGAAAATCAAGTCCCACTTGTTTCACCACCACTGTGGAACAGCCCCATCTGCACCAGCCTTGGGGCAAGTCCTGCCTTCCCCTGCTTGGTCCTTGGGAAGGGGCTGTGAAACCTCATTAAAGCTCAAGGGAACATCAGGAGAACACAAAAGCCCCACTATAAAAAAATACCCTCCGAGGAGGTGCCGGGGTCTGACCGTGTGCTGGCCCCCAAATTTAAACCAGAGAAAGCCAAAGAAGAGTCAAGGGAGGGGATTGTCCTCCTCAAGCCCACCTGCAGAGCTGCCTCCAGCCCTGGGAACAACAGCACAAGGACGTGGAGCTGCTGGAGAGAGTCCAGAGGAGGCCCCGGAGATGCTCCAGGCCTGGAGCCCCTCTGCTCTGGAGCCAGGCTGGGAGAGCTGGGGAGGTTCACCTGGAGCAGAGAAGGCTCCAGGGAGAGCTGAGAGCCCCTTGCAGGGCCTAAAGGGGCTCCAGGAGAGCTGGAGAGGGACTGGGGACAAGGGATGGAGGGACAGGACACAGGGAATGGCTTCCCACTGCCAGAGGGCAGGGTTAGATGGGATTTTGGGAAGAAACAATTCCTAAATCCAGCAGTAAGAGGGACAGTGCTTCCCAAAGACTGGGCAGGAAAAGATCCCACCCATGTCCATGTCTGAGCTCCATCTCCTGCCCCTTGTCACTGCTCCAGCCCCTGGACAGGGACACAGCAGGAGGGCTCCACACCCCCCAGTTCTGCAGCATCTCCTTCACCTTCCCACCTGAATTTTAATCCTTCCAAACCCATTCCCTGATTTATTTCAAGTACAAGGGCACACAGTGATGGGACAAGGGGTTTAGATGAGACAGCAGGAGGAAATCCTTCCCTTGGAGGGTGGGGAGGCCCTGGCACAGGTTACCCAGAGAAGCTGTGGCTGCCCCTGGAATCCCTGGAAGTGTCCAAGGCCGGGTTGGAGCGACCTGGGCTGGTGGAAGGTGTCCCTGCCCATGGCAGGGAGTGGAACAAGATCGAGATGATCCTTGAAGTCCCTCCCAACCCAAACCATTCTGAGATTTTAAGAGAGAAAATCCCAATCCTTTGGCCAGAGCTGCCTGGGAGATGGGTTTGAGCACCCAGCTGTGGTTCAGCCCCAGGACCAGCCCTCAGCAGCCACTCTGAAAAACAGCCAAGGTAACTAAAAAGCTTCACTCTTCACTTCTTTCTTGGTTTCTTTCTTCTTTATTTCTAATTTTTATTATTAATTCCATTTCCTACAGCAGCAAACTGCTGCAAAGCCTGTATTTAAATTAAAACAATCCTCCAGCCCGAAGAACAGAAACACAGCAGAGCCATCCATTTCCAAGGGAAAACAGGGCAGGAAATCCAAGCAAGATTTATACAGTTATTCCTCTGTAATTATCCAGAAGAGAGAGAAAGCCCACGGGTCAGCAGTATCTCATTCATTATCACACACCACCAGCTTTTTTAGCCTTTAATTTTGTTTTATATTTTTGCAATCCCCTGCTTACACCCAGATTAATGGGGATGTGCTGGGAAAATTAAAGGTCTCTGCTGATAATGGGGCAAAATACAACTCTCCCCATCCTCTCCCCACGCAGTGGGAGCAAGGGCAGGTGCCCAGATGGGATTGGCACCTGCTGGGTAATGACCAGGTTATGATCTGATGGGAGGAAATTAAGAATACAATGAAAAGTAATTCCAAGAGAAGATGGGAAAACAAGGGGCCCTTTGAGAGCTAATACTTTAATTTGCCTTTGGCTCTAATGGCTTCATCCATTCTTTTTTTTTTTTTTTTCCATCCTGTAAAAAGCTTCCTGGGCTGTTGCTGCTGCTTTTTATGGCAGGAGAAAATACACTGGAGACCCTGTGCTGGTGGTGGTCCATAAGCCAATCTGGCACTTCAGGAAAGCCAGGAATCCTGCTGATTCCAGGGAAAAGACCCTGATCTGCTCCATTAACTGTGGTGACCCATCCCTGTCCATCTGCAGGGGGATGCCTCTGCCAGAGACCTCAGGAGATGGTGCAACCAGGTGAGAAGAACCCCAGACCTGCCAAATTTGGGGGTTGCCCATCCTTCTCCTTCCTATCCCAGGCTGGATCAGGCTTCTCCAAGTGCTGGAGGTGGTTCTGGCATCATCCCCACCATGGTGGGACTTGCAGGGAGCTTTATCTCCATGGGTTTTATAGGATATTTGTTACAGGGGGAGGGATTTTGCTGATAAACTCTTTGAGGTGTTCACTCCAGGCTGGAGATGATGAAGGGCTGAAGGAAAATGAGAAAGGGGAAACCTGGGGAGGAAAAGACGCTGCTCTGAGACAGAGAGGAAAAACAGATTGGATGGATTCCCCTCCAAATATTCCTGAGAGGAGCAAAGGAGCAGCTGCAGAGAATAAACACCCTGGAAGTGACCCCTGCCTTCCACCTCCTCCAAAAACCAGAGCTGCTGAGAACCTGCAGGGCCAGGAGAGGAACAAACACCTCCCTGAGCTCCCCAACTTAATGTATTTTAAGCACAAAAGATGCTGATTAGCAAAGGATTTTTTTTTTACAACAGCATTTAAAGCTCGTTAGAAAAGCTCCTGGAAGTTTTTAATTTTGGGACTCAGACTTCCTAGGACACCATCACAAGGCTTGGCTAAAACAAGTCCATAGGAACAGTTTTATGATCCTGATTTTCTGCCTAATTAAAGATCCTCCTCTTCAATTACAACCACTTAATCTGGGTGTACAGGACTTGAAGTGGCATCAGCTGAGGACACAGCCCTGAGCTGAGATTTAACAAGTGACAGTGATTTAGGCCTCCAGATATATCTTCTGTCTTTCTTCCAAGCAAAAGAAGGTTTATTGAATTATTTCACCGAGTCAGAGCTGGTGTCCTTGTGCCTGCAGCTGGATTTCACAGGCACCCTGTGGCTGGCAGCCCCCATGTTTCTTTTAATGGTTTTAAAATCTTCAAACGTTGCAAAAAAAGATGATTTTTTTTTTTTACTCCCAAGATGCTGTAGAGAAACAACCTAAACCTCACGGACCAAGTGACCAGGATGGCAGCAGAATTGGCTGCAGCAGCTCAGCTGGTCAATCTCAAAGTTCACCTGAGAAGCCACGATAAATCAATATTTTTAATGTTTTTCCATCTGGAGATGGAGCTTCAAGACTTATTCTAAGGGTCATTAATCACTCTGTAAAGTAAAAAGAAAAAGCTCCAGGATGTTCTGAATTTCAGAGGTGGAATTCCAAGGTTTTTAATGGGATGCCTTTGGAGCTGCACCGAGGGGGTGTGTGGCTTCCATGTTCATAATGACACTCCAATGCTTTACAGGGCATTTTTATGTCCCTTCTGTTACAGCCCAGCTGGGATCACTCTGGATCCTGGTGTTTATTCTCCAGGGGGACATATTTAGGCAGAGGACTCTGGATATTTCAGCTCTGATGAGAAGATGAGAGACTGGATTGGGAAAACTGTCCCAGCTTAGAGCTGCTCTGCACAGCTCCCACCCCGACAGACAACAGGAACTTTGACTCCAATTCTCCCTTAGAATAAAACAATTTTACAGTAACCATGCAGGTAATTAATGATCCTGCCAGGACTGTTTTCCATTCCCAGAGTGGTGTGAAGGAGCTTTACTATAAATTAAAACATCCAAGCTTTTATTGGATTTTTGTACCACAGTTCACTTACAAAGAGAAGTCTTAGAAAACTGCAAAAATGACCCCTCCTTGTTTTCCATGATAAAGAGTCAGATCTTATAAATTACATTTCTAAAATTTTAAATTTTATATATGTAAGTTTTTAAATTACATTTATAAAATTTATTAAACTCAATTATATCACATGCATTCTTATCCCATTCTTCTGCTGCAAAATCTCCATAATATCTTTATAAAATCTTACAGATCTTATAAATTACCTGTTTAGTGTGGAACAAAGCAGTAAAGACAGAGACATCCCAGGGGTGAACCAGGAGGTAAAGGGAATCAGTCAGACCTTTTATGTTCATTAAAAGTGTGATCTGGAGCTGGATTTATTATTATGTTGTCAACTAAATGTTGTTGGCACCTCAAAGCACCTCAGAATATTGGAAACACTTTGGGAATGAGAGCGTGAAGTGTCACTGAAAGTGTTCGAGCCCGTGACATCTTCACAAAAAACTGTGACAAAATAGAATCATCCTTGGAGTTAAAAACTGCAGCAGCAGCAGCAGGGAAGAGGGGAGTAATAACTTGGGAAAATCCAGCAAATTCCAGGTGTCTGTAGGGTCAGGGAGGGGAGTGGAAAGGCTGGTTCATCACAGGTGTTTTCTCAGGGCTGCTCGAAGGAGAACAAGGGTTTGGATTTTCCCTCTGGTGAGGATACAGATGGAATTCAGGCAGAGTTTTTAGGGGAAGGAACTTCCACCACTCCTTTTGTTAGCTGTTAGATAGGGTCCCCCTCTTCTCCCTGCATATTCCTGCAGAACTTATTGGAATCTTATTCCAGAGGAAAGAAGGTGGAGAGTGGATAAATTGGGTGGGGTTGAGGGGCACAAGGTGGGATTGGTACAGACAAGAAGCCAGACTGCACCTCAGGAGGGAGGAGAGGAGAGCTGGAAATCATAGAATAGTTTGGGTTGGAAGGAATCTTAAAGCCCAGTGGAAAAGTTATCAGCAGGAAAAGGAGAACTGTGACCACTGAGTTTTGCTCTCTGTTGGTTCCTTCAATATCCCATCTGGAGAGCATGGAATGAGGGTCTGGATTGAATAATCAACCTTGCTGAATTTAATAATATGGTTTTGTAGTTAATAATGAAGTTCAAAACTCCAGGCAGCCACTTGTAAAGAGAGCCCAGAAAACAGGAAGCAGCACAAGATGCTTTATCTGAGAAATCTCAGAAGGACCAAAGAGGCTCAAGGACCTTCAAGGACAGCTCCAGTTCTGGAGAAGACAAGCTCGTTTTAGTTTGATGCAAAATCAGACTGGGCAGAGCAGGAATTTCTGTTCCCAAGGCACAGAAAGCTGAATCCTCTGGGGAAACACCAGGAATTTCAGCTCCCCTGACTCCCATGGAACACGAGGCACCTCAAGAATATTGGGTTTGTGGCCAGAGCAGCCCAGTTGCCTTGGCCAAAAGCCACCCAGGGGATGAGATGACACAAATTCAGGCTCTGGCTTGACACTTGTGACCATCCTCTTTATAAACAGTTTTTTTCCCTTTGCTGTGGAAACAGGACAGTAAAATAAAGCAGAAAAAAACCAAGATCCTGGAGAGCAACCTTTGCTAGACAGGAATAATTGGACGTACAAAGGGACCACCCCCCTGAGGGGGGAAAGTGCTTTCTGGAATAAAAGCTTCCAAGAAAACCAGTGTTCTCTCTAAAGGTGTCTAGTCTGCTAAACAGATATTTTAAGGGCAGCAACTCTGGCCTTTTCCCACCCATAATTAATAGTGTTTTCAGAGCTTTTACACATCATTTTATTGAATAAAAATCTCCCACTTTGCTTTTCACTGTTTAACCCTTCGAATTTCTCCCTTGTTTTCCAGCTTATGCATTTCTCTCAAAATTGTCCTCTTTATCTCAGTCTGAAGCCCATTTGCAGCACAGAATAGAAAAAAATAATATTTTAAAAAAGCACTTTACACCCTCAAAAGGAAAAAGTGAAAAGCAGCGAGGGCAGGAATAATCTTTACAAATTACCAAATAAAATAGAGGCATCCAATTTGCTTGCCTTGCAAGTTGAAAGTACAGGAGGTTAAAAGTGCCTTCCTGTGCTGCAGAAGGGTAAAAATTAAGCTTGACCTTCAGCTTTTCAATTCAGGTGGGTATTTCAGAGCCTGCAGCAGATTTTGTCCTGCTGTACCACAAAGCAAATGGATCCTTAAGTGTCCCAAACACCAATTTTTGTCCCAGTTTGAAAAGGCAAATGTTTTGAATTGCACCACATTAAAGAGCTGATCTATATTTTGCTTTCCATTAAGAGGAAAGGTCATAATGCATGAAGTATTTTTGGAGAAAAAAATATAAACTCTGTTACTGACTCACACAAAACCACATCTGCAGGGATGGCCCTCTGCAGGAACTTGGAGTTCTCCAGTTAAACCTGAAATTTTGTTTCTCCCTTGAAGAAGAACTTGGTAAATCCACTCTAATTAAATGTGGCTGGATTGGGGGTTGATTTCGTTGACAGAGTAGACTCCAAAAACTTCCAGATGTCCAAGACAGGATGTTTAAGTCTGGACAAACTCCCATTAAAGGCGGGTGGTGGTGAGGAAGGTGCAGCTCCAGGGGAGGAGGTGAAGTGGGAAAGGGCAAATGATCTCAGGAGCCACCTGGGAAAGGAAGGTTTGGGAAGGGAAGGGAAGTCACCTGCAGCTGTGTTTGAGGTATGAAAAAATCACAACTACTGAAGAAAAGATGTGTGCTCTGCAATCAGCCATGATCAGGCCTTGGAGAGAGCAGAGACAGTGCCTGGAGAATGGAAACCAAAGGGTGGAACTAAAGGAGCAGGGATGGGAATCTTCACTGTCCCATCATTAGAACAAGGAGCACAATGAAGACAACCCTCAGAGCAAAGTATTTTCCCTGATTGTCCAGGAGAAACAGGTTGTTTTTCAGGTATGTAATTCAGTCTGAGGAAGAGAAGAGTTTGAGATCATTAAATTGTGGCTTTCCAGGGCCTAAAGGGGCTCCAGGAGAGCTGGAGAGGGACTTGGGATGAGGGATGGAGGGACAGGACACAGGGAATGGCTTCCCACTGCCAGAGGGCAGGGATAGGTGGGATATTGGGAAGGAATTGTTCCCTGTGAGGGTGGGGAGGCCCTGGCCCAGGTTGCCCAGAGAAGCTGTGGCTGCCCCTGGATCCCTGGAAGTGTCCAAGGCCAGGTTGAACAGGGCTTGGAGCAACCTGGGCTGGTGGAAGGTGTCCCTGCCCGTGGAGGGGGTGGAATGGGATGAGCTTTAAGGTCCCTTCCAACCCAAACCATTCTCTGATGCCCAAATTTATCCCACATCTTCCCCTGAGGAACTTCTCCCTCACAGTCAAACCCACGTGTTACAAAACAGAGAGGGTGGATTTAGTGAGCTAAGGGAGGGATTTCTGGTCTCTTCCAACCCAAACCATCCAAAGATTCTATTATTTTCCTTATCCAGTGGTCTGGATTAGAACCTCCTGCACACAGAGGGTGCACTAAATGCAGGAGCTGGGCACAAGCAGGTTATTCGCACACTGGCACAGAGTTTGAGACAAAAAAATTGGGAATACTGTGAGAGAAGAGCAATAATGGGCATCAAAAGGAGTTTTGGCTGCCGTTTCTTGAGGAAATTTGGATTCTTGCTCTTCTGGGTGCAGAAACAAGCTGAAGTCCAGCAGGTCTTCCCCTGCTCTGAACCCTCCAGCTCTGGGCAAATCCAGGATCAGCCACAAGGTTTCAACCTCATCCTACTTCAGCTTCCCTGGGGTGGCTTCAACCAGGCTGGATTTTAGGGTTCAAAAGGGCACAAGGAAGGGCTCCAGCCCCCGAAGTGTGAGGTGTTATTTCTGATCATCCTCACACAAGCAAAGCAACCACCAGCGGGGAACAGCTCCAGTCACACCTCAGTGAGAAGCTGCTTCCTGACAGGTCCTGAGGAGCTTCACAAGATGAAGAAACTGGTGACCACGTGCTCAGAAATCTGAGCAGCACAACAGACAGATTGAGTCATTTAAATCCGACAACCTCCAAGCACCGTAAAAAAACTGAAAGGAAAAGCCCTCCCAGCCTGCTCTGCACCGAGTTTTGCAGGTTCTATATTATCATCAGCACCTGGCCTCCACTAAATTAATCCTTTCCCCCCCATATTGATGAGACCTTCTTTGCTTAATAAACCCTCACAAGGAAGAGAAGCGAGAAAAGAGGGGAGGAAAAAAGCAACTCCGGAAAAATTGAGTGTTTTCTTTCCGCTCATGTAGCCTTGGGACATCTTCCATAATTCCTCTCAGTTTGCATTTTAACTACCTGGAGAATAACTTTCTATTCCTCCCTTGTATTTTTTAGCTTTTAACCCACTGATATTATCCAGGGATGGTTAAGTGGTTTAAGAGCCTTTAGTTTAAGGGGCACAGCTCTCCCTCCACTCCTCAAAACCTCCATCACTGCTGCTCAGCCACCCTGCTGGCCTCCTAGAAGTATTTCAGCTCTGCTTCTCATAAGTGGCAAAACATTTGCTCTGAACTGTTCACAAAATGTCTTTAAACATCCCAAACCTCCAACCCCCTCCACTCCTTTAAGGAGCTTCCTCCACTTCCAAAAGGCAAACAGCATTGACAGCGTTGCCTTAATGGATTTTTGGCTGTTTTGTTACTGTAAAACGTTAAATTTGAGTCCATTTGGGCTGAATGGCTGTTTCCCAGTTACCTCTCGAGTTGTTCACAGCTCACAACGAGCAGTTACAAGTCCCTTGGGGGTTTCCTGCTGGGCTGCTCCAAGGAACCGTCAATCCCGGTGCCTAAACACCTCCAAACAAACTGTCCTGGCATTTACTCAGCCTCCGTGGGGCAAAGGGAAGGCTCCTGTTCTCACTGAGAGTGATTTCAAAGCCAAAGCTCGAGGAACACAACCACAACCTCCTCCCCTGGCAGCTCTGCCTGTCCCAGCCGAGGAATTCTCCTGGTTTTCAGTCAAATGTCAAACTTGGACTCCTGCTCTCCGCTCGCTTCCCTTGCTGCATTCCCTAGAAGCAAAAATCTAGGGATAAACCCCCCATTCCTCCTCTCCCTCCTCTTCATCTCCCTCAGAAGTTAATGTTGCTGAACCACAGCAGGCCCCACTATAGAGCTCTTAAAGCAGGAGGAGATGTGTTTGTGAACACCCCTACAAGCCTCCTGCTTCCATCTCATCTCCAGCGTTGTTTTCCTGATCCAATGAGTGGTGCAGAGAATTAAACCCCAGCCTTCAAGACCAGCAGCTCCCCAGGAGAGCAATCCAGCTATAATACTATTTAAATATGAAACAGCTCCTGTCCTCAGCCAGAGTTGAGGAGGCAGAAACCAGAGAAAGTTGTAATTACTAAGAGTGATTAAGAGTTGCAAGTTTGCTGTCAGCACAGAGATGCTTTCTGAAATCCTCACGAGGCAGGAAGAACATCTCTGTGGTTGGAGAGGGGGGAAGTTGGTTCTGGAAAATGTTATTTAATGTTCTTTAACAGAGGTGCTAAAAGCAGGGGCCCAGGGGTGTCTACAGGAAGGAGGAAAAGCACCCAGCAGGGCATCAGGGCAGATCCCACGCTCACAGTATCCATGTTTTAAGTCCTCTGGGAAGGACTGAGGCATCAGCTCGGGGATAAAGGGATCCCAAATGGATCTCTCTCCACATGCTGCCCAGTTCTCCCCCAGCCCATGGGCAGGTGCTGCTCACACAAGACCTTTTGGACAAGCCCAGGCCTGGCTTTGTGTCTCTTTTGAGCTTGGCTCTTACTAAACTCATCCTACAGCTCCCAGTTCTTGTGTTGGAGAACAACTATTGCTGCCCAGGGCACAGCTGGCTCTGCACACCTCCAGAGAACACATTTACCCTCAAACTCCTCCTTTTCCAAGCTGAACCCAAGCCTAGGTGGCTCCTGTAGAATGAAACCACTTCAGACCATTATCCTCCCTCATCCTTCCCTTCCTGAACTAATGTTTCTCAGTACAGATGTGGGAAAAGGAATTGCACAAGTAGTTCCAAGTGTGAGCAAACCCCAGACTTGCAGTGATGTTCTCTGTTTCATTATTCATTGTCTGATATCCAGCATTTCATGGGCTTTTACTCCTCCTGGCCACTGAGCTGATGTTACATAAATCTAATTCCCAAATCCCACTTCCCCTCAGACAGTCCAGGTTTCAGGCATAAAAGTGGTGCAGGAACCATGTAATCCAACATCAGGAATACAAAATCCATAAACTACATATAAAACCCCCAAATTGTAAATAAAACTATAAACACAAACCCCAGACTTACACAGTGACATAAGATGTTCTCTAACTTATTATTCACTGTCTGATGTCCAGCATTTCATAGTCTTTAACTCCTCCTGGCCTTTGACCTGATGTTAAAAATCCCACTTGGCTTCAGACAGTCCAGGTTTCAGGCATAAAAGTGGTGCAGGAACCATGTAATCCAACATCAGGAATCCAAAAATCCATAAACTGTGTATAAACTAGATATAAAAAACTATAAATAAAACTATAAATGCAAACCCCAGACTTACACAGTGACCTAAGATGTTCTCTAACTTATTATTCATTGCCTGATGTCCAGCATTTCATAGTCTTTAACTCCTCCTGGCCACTGAGCTGATGTTAAATACATCCACTTCTAAAATCCCACTTGACTTCAGATAGTCCATGTTTCAGGCAGAGAAGTGTGCAGGAACCACGGAATCCAACATCAGGGATCCAAAATCCATAAAATATAAAGCTCCTGACCATTAAGGCAGCAGGAGAGCCAGATTCTGAATTTCCAGTTCCAAACTTTACCTCTGGAGTCAGGACTGACCCAGCACTTATGTGGACACAGTCCAGACAGACTGGGAACTGCTGGATTCCATAAATCCCAGTTTCCAGGTGGACTCCCTGTTCCTCAGGCTGTTCTGAATCCCTGCCAGCAACACAGAGCTGAGTATTAAACCACAACCCTGCAAAGCTGCCACAGAACCCCAGGCAAACTGCTGGCTGCTTTATTCCCAGATTTCCACCTGCAAATCAAGGCTAATCCTTCAAGATTTAGTTAGATTACAACCTCCTGAGGCTGAGGAATTGCTTACAGGGAGAATTTAGAGACTAGGACAGCACATTCCCCCCTTGGAGACTGTGAGAGAAGTAAAAGAAAATCCCCTGTAAAATCTGGAGCACGGGCAGGATTTATAGTGGGGTCTGAGTGGGATCTATGCCCCCAAAAATGCTGTGGTTTAGTCACATTCAAGTAAATATGTACAAAATGACCCCTTTGGACATGTTTTCAGAGCTTAAGTCAGAAGGGATTCATCAGAGCTGGCCAAGAATACATTTCTATCCCACTCCCCTTCTCCCTGCTCTGAGAACCAGCACAATACCCCTGGATTCCAGAGGATTTGCATCTTTTAGGTGTCTCAGCCAGTAAATGCAATTTAATGCAGGCAAGTGTAAAGCACTAGGTCCAGAGGGATGAAGTCCAGATGAGCAAATGCAGCTCAAATGGAGCAGGGATGCAGCAGATGAGGGGCACGGGGGGGGGGATTTAGGGAGTCGTGACACCCTCCCCTTATCACCAGAGTTCAAGTGGCAGCAGAGAGGCAGAGCAGGAACTGAGCAATCCCTGCAGCTCTGTAGAGCTTGGCATTACAGCTCTCCTCCAAAAAAAAAAAAAAAAAAAAAGACAGTTTTCACAAGGATTTCTCTTCTCCAAGGAAGTTTAACACTGGGCAGTGTGACAGCTGGAGAGCCCTGGTTTGAAAGCTGCAGTCAGTGCCCAGCCCTAAAATGCAGCCATGAGGGAATGGGGTGATCAGCACTAGGAAAAAAATCCAGAGTTAGTCACAAATTCCTTGAACTGAAGCTCAACTGCTTGAAAAATGGGTGTGGAAACCCAACACAAGACAAGTGTTTCACCCACCTACCTCTGCAGAGTTGAAGGTGTTCAAACCTTTTTCACTCCCTGGTCGTTTAAGGGTCTGATCCAGGTGCCAGTCAGACATTCCTGAGGCTGATTCCAATTTCATCCTCTTAAAAAAAATCACTGTTTTGACTAAATAGGCTTGATCTCCACAGTCAGACGTGTGATTTGGAGGCAGCTCTTGAGCCCCAGGAGGTGTTATTGGGGCAGCCTGGACAGAGGAGCTGCCCACATAACTCAAACACAAGGAAATAATAATAATAATTAAACCACTTTGCATTTGTGCAGCAACTGAGACACTCCA